TATTTTATTTTATTTTATTTTATTTTTTCTTCTGTTTTTTGTGGGGAGGGATTTTTGTTTAAAAAGTTGAGTCTTTTTCTACCACAATCTGCTTGCTCACAATTTTAAATTGCTGTTTTTTCTTCCCATTTCAGCAACAAAAATGCAGGCCACATGGAGAGGTTTCTACCGTAGAAAGAAATTCCTGCACATGAAACATTCAGGTACGAGAGAGAGGAAACTGCGGTGCTGGGTCACTGCATGATCTGGAGTGGCCACTGTTGTCAGAGGTGCCTTGAGTTTGATGTGCACGAAGGAATGTTCCCAAAGTCAGATGGCAGATGTGGGTGTGGGTGCCCTGTCCTTCCACCCTCAGTCTGTGCCTCTGGGCAGGAGCAGCAGCTTTAACTCGTGTTCACACAGCAGCTCCCATCTGCAAGTGCTTTTCATTGATGTTTATCCATCGCACCCGACTGTTAAGAAGTTACATTCTGTGGTGTGTTGAAGGCTGGTTATTTCAGAGTGGGCTTTGTTGCCAGTTTTGTACAGAGTTAATGTTTTTATGAAGTAGCTCACTTAGGACACAATTTTTTCTATTATTTTTAGCAATAGCTATCCAGTCCTGGTGGCGGGGAACCTTGGGGCGTCGAAAAGCTGCCAAGAAGAAGTGGGCAGTAGAGACTATCAGAAGGTGAGGAGAGAATAACCCAAGCTATCAACTGGGGACTTGTTTCTTAATAATAGATGATAAGAATAAACTTTCTCATCCCTAGAGTATCAGAGGGGTTTTTAATAAATCACAACTATTAAATAAAGCCCAGAAAATGGTTGGATTGAAAAAGACCTCTAAATATCACTGATTTTCATCACTTTTCTAATTTCCTAATAAAATTTTCTTCTTCCTCAGGTTCATTAAAGGTTTTATTTACCGGAACCACCCTCGGTGCCCAGAGAACGAGTATTTCCTGGATTACATCCGCTTCTCCTTCCTGATGAACCTCAAGCGTAATTTACCAAAAAATGTTTTGGACAAATCATGGCCAACTCCTCCCCCATCGCTCTGTGAGGTGGGTACCAGTGCGCCGGGCCGGGGGGATGACACAGGATGGAGGAGACTAATGGACGACCATGGGCCACCAAAGGCCTGAGGGGACCCTCCTGCTACCAGAGAAGCGGGTTCTTGCTCAAGTTCCACGTTCCATTAGTATCTATCTCTACTAGTAGAATTAATCCAGATAGCATCATATGGGTGTAATTAGCATATCTGTGAATTATTAGAGCTGTAGTATTGAAAGTTCATGTGTGGTGCTGTTGCAACAGTTTTCTACTGGTTTTCTCATCAGTTTCTCAAATTTTCTTCCCTTTTTCTCTGAACAAATTAAGTTCCCTCTAGACAGTTAAATTTGCTGCAATGACGATGCGGTTGCCTGTGAAGAACATATTAAACTTCCTCTCTTGCCATTATTATTCTGCACCTGGCAGAATTGGTTTTTTAATCCCAAAGTCATTGTTGGTTTGGGTTGCAGGTAGAGCTGGAAGCAAGGAAGGGCACAGCAGTGTACAGCAGAGCTTTCCTAATATTCATTCTCCATTCTTAAAGCGGCTGGAGAATGTTGTGGGGCAAACTCTCTCAGAAAGGTGGAAAATAAAACTTCCTATGATTTAATTTTAAAAGTGACTCTCAGTAGTGTCAGTATTTGGAGTCATCAAGGCATTTTCTGCAGTTGCTTCTCATCTCTCTGCACTGTTTGAATTAGTTTGTCAGTAATTTTGAACTCTCTTCACTTACTGTGTGATTTCTTCTTCAGGCATCCCAGCTCCTGCGCCAGCTGTGTATGCAGAACATGGTCTGGACCTACTGCAAGAGAATCAGCCCCGAGTGGAAGCAGCAGGTACGAGACAAGTTGATGTTGTTTCACAAATGACACCGATGTTCCCAAGAACAGGAGGGGGTTGCTCAGTATTATTTATTGTAAGAAATGAAGAGGGGGAGGAGCTGGATGGGAGGGATGAGGGTGCTACTACCCAGGGAGGCCCAGGAGCAGTGGTGAGGTGGAAGAACTCTTGCATTGCTGCATTCTTTGGTGACTGGTTAACAATTCCACAAGAACATTGTGATTATTTTTTAAGTTAGAGACAAAAAACTAAAAGACTAGAATGTGCAGAAAATAAAACCACTGTATTTATATTTCAATACATACTCTTTAAGCAGTGCTGTATATCCAGGCCCCTATATAATTTCCATGCTGAAAGGCCCTGTTATTCTTCCCAAGGAAGATAAAAACATAAGAAGCTGCATTACTCTGGTTGTACCATATAAAGTAGAGAGCAAGAATTCTGCAGACACAAAACGAATCATTTTCCAAACTGAGAAATTACATGAGCAGTTACAGCTGCTGTTCCAGCTAAAAAGAATAAATATGATACTGAGATTTAATTCATCTTTGTTATGGAAAGGTAGGGGGAGAAATTTTTTTTATATTAAAAAAAAGGCTTAGTAAAGGGACATGATAAGAAACTTGTACATTAAACAATTTAGATGTAACTGTGAGATGATGGGAATACTTGCCATGAAGTTGTTTTTTATTACAGTGTATCACACTGCTTGTGAAGGGCTGTACAGTATTAAGTACCTGTAATGAAATGCTGTAGATTAGTTAGTGGCTGAGCCTGTGATTAAGGACACAGGATTAGTACCAGCCCTTGCTGAGCTGGAGGTGGAAGCTCAGCCGAACACTTTCTTTTCCCCAGCAAACCAGACTCACTGATAACGAGTCTCTTTTGTCCACATTTTTACCTGTAAATCATTTACTGTTTAATAGGACCCATAACACACATTTGCTCTAAATAAAGCAAAGGGCTTTCCTGTTTTCTCACTCCCTGGTTTTGTTCTTATTCTGAAGAAACACAAGTTAGGAGCTCAGAGCACAAAGTGTCATTTACAGCGTGGGGTGACTGTATCCTGGAATATAGTGCCGCTGTGAAAGGGACCAAAGGTTTATGGTGACTCTTCCTCTGAACAGGAACTCTGGGGCTGTAGTTTGCCAGAGGATAAGGTAGAGAATAGTGAGTAGAGCAGAGAGCTGCAGTGGATGTGCTACACAGCTGCTGAGAAGGACACAACTTTTGTGTCAGTATTTCAAGCAGAGGTGGTGAGGAGCTGAAAGGCTTCAAGGTGAGGAAAAAAAATAATCTGAAACGTGAAAAAAGCCACATAGGGTAGAGCAGGAGAACAAACTGTTCAGCTGAAGGAGGAAAAGGTGAAGAGAATCACTGTGGTGGGAGAATTCTGAGACTTTAAACAATGGGCACTACCAAAATCCACAGACTAAATGCCACATCCAGATAAATTCAAACCAGAAATATAATGCATACTTTTGAGATCAAAAGTGACCCTAAAGATAGGGTCACTGCTTAAAATGTAAGGGATATATGGAATATTTGGGGTTATTTTGTGACTAGGATGATTCAGGAGGTCAGAACTACATGATGACTGCTAAAAAAAAACCCAAAAAACAAAAAAGGGGAGATACCTTTTAAGACAAATGTATCTTTTTTATTAAGGAGAAGTTTTATACTAAACAAGAATACATCTTTTGTCCTTGCAGTTGGAACAAAAAGTAATTGCCAGTGAGATTTTTAAGGGTAAAAAAGACAATTACCCTCAGAGTGTTCCCAGACTCTTCATCAACACTCGACTTGGTGAGTAAGTGTTGTAAAGATGAACAGGAAGAAGGAAGGTGGTTGGGGGATTAATCTACTCTTCTTGCTAGAAATTTCTTTCTGACCATTACCTCTTTGGTTTTAATCTAGGAAATGAAGAGATAAATGCTAAAGTCCTTCAGGCTTTAGAAAATGAAGCAATTAAGGTGAGATATGGATCCTAATAGTTTTTTGTCAAGCTTCTAGAGTTATTCAGCTGAATATCAGAAAATCAGAGTTCTGAGGAAAATACAGCAAGACTTTTAAATTAAGCTTTAGGCTTCATTTAAACTCTAAGCTTGTTGATAGCTCAGAAATATGATTTGGGCAAGTTTAATGCTGTCAGTTAAGAACTGAAGGGGTTGCAACTGGCACAGCTGGAGAGGGAAGGAGACTGCACAGATTGAACTGAAACCTGGATTTTTCAAGCCTGCAGTCAGACAGCTGCAGTCATCGAGTTTTGTTCAGAACTCCTCTAGGTCAACAAGGAACAGGCCACTGGTCTGTACCTCCTGACAGCTCTCTGGGCTAGAGGGAAGGGAGCTGGCAATGACACAAGTTGCCTTTTCAGCACTGTTAACATGTTTCAGTATGCAGTTCCTGTGATCAAGTATGACCGCAAAGGATACAAAGCAAGAGCACGGCAGCTGCTTCTTACCCAAAACGCAGCCATCGTAGTTGAAGAATCCAAAATCAAACAACGGATCGACTATGCCAATCTGACAGGTAAGAATGGGAACAGCGAGGGGAATTCCTCACTCAACTGAAGTCAGACATCACCTTGGCTAGTTAAATAATAATAAAATAGCAATTTTGTGTCTTTGTCCTGGACAAAATGGAATTATCTGATACTGAAAAGCATTGAAATCTGTAATGTTTTGAAACCAAGTTTTTCTAAAATTAAAATTCCATAAAATGTCACAAAAATTACTCAATTGATCTCCCCCCAATCCCCTCTTAAGTAATTTCCCAATTGCACGTCTGTACCACAGGGGAGTTGCACCATTATTGCACAGCAGCTGCTTGGGACACTGCTACAGCTTTCAGCCCTCTGAATGATCAGACAGGGTCAGAGAGAGAAAACTGCTGCATCCCGTGTGCTGTGCTCACTGCTTGGCTTTGTCTGAAACATCTGACTGCACAGCCTGGGCTCCAGCTCTGTTCCTCTTTACAGCCAGTTTTGGTGCTAATCATTTCCATGTTAGCCCCATGCAGTTATCGACTGCATTTCTAATTGCCACCCTTTGAAGTGGTTTCCAAGGGCAACACTAATTTGGGGTTCTGTGACTGGATCTGCACTGATCAATACAGCAGCAAGTGGGTGTGGGTTCATCCAGCCCCAAGCCCAGCTGCAGGGCAAGCAGGGAATTCACAGCGACCATTAACTTCCCAGAGTCCAGCTCCTGCAGCAGCTCCGGCCTTTGTTACCCAGTGGTGGCAGTGGGGAGAAGACAACAGTGACCACATTGTTCCCATTGCCCCTCTCCTTAGTACCCCAGTAATTACACCATCCATCCACCCACAGGGCTGGAATGAAATATCTGTCCAGTAAAATTTTGGTCATAGGTCCCTTAACAGTTTGACAAGTTGTAAACAGGAATTCTTCCTCCTTCTGATGGACAGAGGCATCTGAAAGTTTCTTTTCCCCCTTAAAGAGCACAGTTATAAGCTGATTGTCACCTTGCAGCCGCTTCAGCCTCGCTGCTGACGTGTTAGCACAGTGCTTCCGTGCAGCCTCTCAGCTGTCGGGTGTCTTGGTGTGCGAACAACAGTTGCTGCGTTCCTGGGAGAGGTTTGAAACACGTGCAGGAGTCTGAGTGGAGCTGTGTTGGGTGTCAAATCCCCATTCTCTATTGCAGGAATCTCCGTCAGCAGCCTGAGCGATAACTTGTTTGTGCTGCACGTGCACTGCGAGGACAACAAACAGAAGGTAGCAGGACTCATCCATCACTTCTCCAACCACCTTTAGATAAAGTTTTAAAGGCATGAAGAGCAGAAGATCCCACTGGGGGGTGTGGGTGGAGCACACATGGTGATCAGCCCCATCTGTAACTTTGTGCCAGCTCTAAGCAGCATTTCACTTACATTTATTTGTGCTCACAGATGGGATTCACCAGTGACTTTTTTACCAAGAGGACTGCTGCTTACTAGTACATTGTAAATTAATTAATTGTATTAATTAGTGTGAGCCCCAAAGATCACAGCCAAGCCTGCTCCACTTGGAGAAGTGTTTTTCCACACTGACCTATGGAGATAGTTCTGTCCCTGTTAATTACACCATCATTTTGGTAAAGCCATGATCATAAACAACTGTCTCTTCTCCCTCCCAGGGAGATGTTGTACTTCAAAGTGACCACGTGATCGAGACACTAACAAAGACAGCCATGCAGGCAGACAAAGTCAATAACGTCAACATCAACCAGGGCAGGTGGGTGAAGCTCAGCCCCTCTCAGGAGCTGTGTTGGTTCTGAAGAGAGCTCTGCATTAAAGGGCTACAGAAATACACCTCTGTGACATCAAATGTACCCAATACATCTTACCTAAGGCTCCATCTCCTTCAACAAGCTGATCTGTTGCAGCAAAATGTCAATACAAAGCAGCCACTTAGAGGAAAAGGGTAAAACTGAGCTCGTGGAGAGGTCACAAATACTCACCAAATCTGCTCTTACCTTTTTCTTCACAGCATAAAATTTACAGTTGGGCAAGGCAAAGAAGGCATCATTGACTTTATATCGGGATCAGAACTGCTCATAGCCAAAGCCAAGAACGGCCATCTAACAGTGGTGAGTACAGGCTGAGGCTGGTACACAATGCTCCTTCCCTTACCGTGGATCCAGACCCAGCTCTCGTGCAGCAGATGGACACACAGCACATGACTGTGGCTGAACGCCCTGCCCTGGGCTACCAGCCTTTTCCCCAGGTGGAGCTGTGCATTGTACTTCTCTTCCTGCAGTCTCCAGAGACTGCCAGACTTACTCAAACTCATCAAGGGACTATCCTATTAATCACTTTTCCCACCCCCCTCCTCTCCCCAAGATTCAGGCTTTAATACTACAGTTGGAAATCAAGTTTTAGGGAAAAAAAATAAAAACACAGGAAGAAAACAATAAAAAAAAAAAATTCCTCTTCCCTTCTCAGATTGTTTGTAGTCTTCCTGCTAGTCAGCTCTAGTCATACAACTGGTACATGCACTGTCAGATTAAAGGCTGTTCAGAAATAAATCCAGAACATACTCAGACTTCCAGCATCAGGGCTAGAAGAGGGAGTGAGCTCCCTGTCCTACGTGGGCTGACTGGCCTCACTATTGCCACTGTGCTCTTCACTGAAACAGTCTGTCCTGGAGAAGCCACGTAAGTGGCACTGCCAAAGCATTTCCTTAGTCTATGGAATGTCTATAGATTGTGCAATTTTGTACAATCCTGCTCAAGTGAGGACCAGGCTGCTTTATTTGCTTAGTAACATAACAGCAAACCAAATAACTTCATTATGGACAAATAACATCCCACAATTTTCTCCCCTTGCCTTTTCAAACCTTACAAACAGGTTTCCAATTTTCCCTCTCTCTCCTTGGCAAACTGCCTTTGGTAGTGCTGGCCTGGGGAGAGGTTTAACATAACCACAGGAACCGGGGCCCAAGACCCCTCTAACTTACTGAACCGCCAACATCTTTGTTTCCTGCCAGGACTGGCCAACTCCAGTGCTCTGGAGGAGAGCAGATTTACATACTGTAGCATAACAACTCCATTCTACAAGCCAGACTCTGGAACAGAAATATGTTTAGGAGCCCCAGCTGTTGCAGCATCTTTGTTCTCAACACACCATTCTTGTCCTCCTTCTCCTGCAGGTTGCTCCTCGTTTGAACTCTCGATGATAATACGTGCCACCACAACAGGACCTTTTCCTCCATCAACCTGACTGCACCCCATAAAATTGGCTGGACATTGTTCCCAGCAAAATCCCCCCCTCCTTCCTCGCTTTGCTCATTTTGTTTATTGTTACCAAAGACCTGCACTTTCAGAAAAACCACAAAATACATCTTGCTTTGTCTTAATATGAAAGTTCCAAAAGAAAGGCCTTCTCTTCCTTACCTTAGTGGCAAAGGCATGGGTCCAACGCAATGGCTGTGAAACCGCGGCTCATGAGACACAACCGGCTGGGCTTTGAGGGAGAGGTTAGCTCTGACTCTGTTAGGAGTTTAAGCTCTGATGGAAATGACCAAAATTTGTGCTTGTCATCATCCAAAAAAAAAAAAAGCACAATCAGAAAACAAGTAACTGCTGCTTTGTCAGCCAAATCAATGAAATGCCAAACTTTATATTTAGAAAGAATGTTTTATGAAGAATTTTGCTCTGAGACGTTTTAATGCTTTTGTGTTACAATATATTAAAGCCATATTGTGTAAATGAGTAAAAACCCTGTAAATACTTTATAGCAGAGTATGAGAGATGCACTACAAGAAATGGAGTTGATGTGGAAACTTTTATGTTTTAAGATTTGGAATTTTTGTTGGTTTTAGTTTATGATTATAAGGTATTAACCTGAGAAACCCATCATATAACTTCACTCATCTGGATCCACAGACTCTTACCTTGTTTTTGAAGTCACCTGTCCCATTTCTTGCTCTATAATGATATTTTTATACCGTAGGAACTTTTTCATATCCACACAGCCAAACAAAATGTAATACAAACTGCAGAGGTTACCACTTCTCTGTGCCGCTCTAGGCAGGAAATGAAACCTGTGGCCTTTGGCCACAGAATGGTCACATCAGCTTTTCCTCCCACTTTGTACCTGCCTGGGATCACCACCGCCCCTTCCACCACACAGCTCAGCAGCACCTTCAGGAAAAAATTGCTTTTCCTCTTGTTTTTTAGCCATAACTGGAAGTTTGAGTTCCCACAATAAAGCTCCACAACATTTATAGCAATGCCTCTCAGTACTGCCTTAAAGAGGAAGAGATGGCTAGTTCAGCACTGCTGCCATGACTGACCAACTGCTGACAGCTCCTTGGCATGGAAGCCAGCTGTGTCACTCCTGTCCTAACCCAGCACTAGGAGGGATCCCTGTTCTGAACACTGGTCTCAGGCTGCATCACACAGGTTAGTACTAAGCACCTTCATTTAACAAAGAACCCGAATGGCGACAGGGGGGAGGACAGCTCTGTGTCAAGTACCTGCTGACTGCAAAGCACAGCTCCAGCTTCCATTTCCAAGTTCTAGACCTCACATGGTGCATTTTGCATTCGCCTTCAAAATCCTTCCCGTTCCGCCTCTGTCCTGATGCAGCAGCAACAAGTTACAATAAGCCCTGAATAAAGTATAACCAAATATGATGCCACTCACACGATCAGCTCAGTCTCCAATGTTTTGGTTTCTGACATGCTGCAGTTATCAAACACTGCCCCAGGCCTGGAATGCTGTATACACTGTAGTCCATATACACCCTACCCCTGTATATGCTAGAGTGTATAGACTATACAATGCTGTATACGCTGTTATATAACCTCTTCAAGACTACGCTCAATAAATTTTTACAAAAAAAACCCACCAAACCTCAAACCTCATCTTTGTTATATAAACTGTTTAATCACATTTCTTCATTTTTTTCAGAGGGAAGATGATTTTTTTTTTCCCCACCCTTATTTCTCACACAGACCCCCCTGAATGTCTGGTTTGGGCCCAATCTGTCTATACAGAGGGCAGCCCTGCTACCATCTATTACAAGGAGCAGATTATTCCTAGAAGGAGATTTCTAGGACATGTGGTAAGCAGGGTGGACAATAAGACAACATTATTTCCCTTCTCTCCATCCACATAACTGGACTAGATGAAAAGTGCTCTAAGGGCAAGCGAGAGGAATGCACCAACCTTTAAATCATGGCTTTTTGTGCATTCAGTTAGGGAAAGGCTGAATAAATGGTGTGGAAGAGCTGCTGTCTCCTCCTGACACAAAGCAAACTGTCCTCTAGGAGGCTGGTCTCACAGCTGTACTACTTACGTGTAAGACTGGGATCTTACTTTATCTCTTGTCTGAAGAGCAATGCTGTTACTCCTCTCTCTCTCCCTCCAAATGTTCCTATTACAAGCAACAAAGGGAAATTTATTCTTGCTGAAATAACTAAAATATAAAAGAAAGTCAAAGTAATATTTGGCATTTTTAATTTAGGTTTGTTTTATTTAAGTTTAATGTTAATTCCATGCTGTGTTTCAGTAAGAACAATACAGATTCTGTATCTGTGGCTCCAGTCAGATATCCAGTAGTACAAATTAGCTTCAAGTTACACATACTGAACAAAAGAGGTTGAGCGAGCGAAGGGAGATGGGGAAAGGGGAGGGAGAAAGAAAAAATATTGAACACGCATGCAGGCTTATCAATGCCACCTTCAATGCTAACCTGCTTTGAGGAAAAGTAAAGAATAGGCAAGAATGAGCAGCCACGGATTGTTGAACTGTTACCAGCACCATGATTTTCAGCAACATTTCAGCAGTTTGGAAACTTTCATTTTTTTTATACAGTAAAACTACTACAATATATGTCCCAATGCAACCTGTAACTTCAAGCTAAACACCCAATTAAGTTTAAACATTGGTATAAAATTCAGTTTAAACAGTTATAAAAAAAAAAAAAAGAAGAAGAAAGAAATATGCCACCACATGTGCACTACCTCGATGAAACAAATCTCTCCCCTACAACCTAACGGCCTCCGGGTGTAACATCCACTTCTAACGGCAATCTCACCGTGTCTGGCAGGAGACAACACAGTAATGCTGAAAGAGCCTTTATGCAGTCCTGTTAGTGTCTTAAAGAACCTAAAAGCTGGCACCAGTAAAATCCACAGAAATTCACTCTTGCCTTTAAGAACTTTTAAACTGTGTAAAAAAAAAAAAAAAATTAAAAATAAAAATAAAGAAACCCAACAGGGCAGGAACCTAAATTCTGAGACCCAATGTAAAAGTCAGATTTGGTGGTTCTCAGAGTGACACTGAGGGTTTTTGTGGGGAAGGGGAAGGGTGGTCAGAGATGGGTTCTCTTGTTGGCCTTTGTGTCTCACTGGTTTTCATCTTCCACATCCTGCAGCGCTTCTTTATTCTGTTCTTCACCTATGGAAGTGTGTAAAAGGAAGGAAGATGTTAATTTATTTTAAAAGTGAGACCTGCAGAACAGCTTAACGAGCATCTAGAGATTAATAGTTTCATGCAAGTCCACACGCTCGCTCACACACCTGTAACAAAGCCAGTTCTGGAGTGAAGCGTTTCCATGGAAATTAAGCCTTATTATCACCTCATCACATTCCATACACAACTGTAGCACAGGCTATTAGAAGACATACTCTGTCACAAGGACAAACAACAAACCACCCTTTCTGAAAACTGAGATCAGTCCTGTTGATCAGGAGATGAACAGCCAAGATCAAAGTCATCAGAACAGCTGTAGATCACCATCCTTAAATCAGAATGTGTCTTCCCCAAAAACCTCTTCTCAAGCCAAGAGAGCACCTAAGGACTTCTATTCACAAGCTACAGAAATGAGACTGTTCTTCGAAACTGAGCTTTATTCTGCCCCAGTCCACTCAAGTCTCAACAACAGCAAAATTCTGCAGTCAATTTTATGAGGTAACACTGATGGCATGTATTATTAAAGGTACCAAAGTATGAAAAAACATCCCTGCTTCAATTCGGACATGGCAAGAAACCCTAGGCTTGAGTTTATTAAAGGAAAACATTTGGTGGAAATCAATTCTCTTGAAAAAATGGCCAGTTTGGACCTATTCAACCAGGCTGTGACATGCAGTGAAATGAGGGTCCATCCATAAAGACTCTTGTACTGAGTTTGGTTCTATTTCAGCTGCCCCGGGCCAGATGCCTGCCACGCCTTCTGCACGTCTTTGCCTGATCTCCACAGCTAGAGGAGAAAGTCTCATGTACTTCAGGCAGTACCGTAACACGTGCACAATTGAGTTAATTGATAAGAGGAACTGAAAAATGTTTTCTCTGCAATGATCCTTAAGCATGTGTGATGGTACTCTCTTAAGGGCAATAAACAAAAACTACTCATTAAAAAAATCATTTTCAATAAAACCTAATCAAATGAGACTAATGACTTTCAGCATATAATCAGAATGCCTGCTCAGAGCATGTCCAGATTCAGAATTACCACCAGGTACAATGCAAGGTAGATTTTGAAGAGGTGGCCTAGGAACACAAAACATCTGACATTCAACAACAACAAAATTTACATTTAAAATTAAATAACAGACTATTTAAGAGAGGAAAGCAGAGGCCCTAACCCAGGAAGGTGATTAAAAGAAGATCTGAGCATGCTCTAGCCAATGCACTTAAGCAAATACTCCTGTAACAGGCGATAGTGAAAGTACTTTTCATGCCCAAATATTCTTAATATCCATCCAGGTATGCAGCTCAATTCCCAAACACGTAAGTTACTTTGGCTCTTAAGTCAAATGTATTGGACCCAGGTAGGGGTAACAGGTCACACGTTGGTAGAACATTGCTTAGCCCTGGAATGGAGTCAAAGATACAAGCAATTTCTCAGCAGCAAGAGTGAGAGAGGCAAGCATGATTAGTGATCGGAAAAAAAACTGACTCTGAAAAGTTCGTTGAGCCACAAAGACTTACAAAGTAGAGTTTTTAGGAAATGAACAGTTGGACTTTCCTTTAGGAATCTATACAGCAGGAAAGAAGGGGAAAACAGGAATCAAATGAAGACGACATTACAAGCGTGAAAATAAACTAAACAGCTCATCTATGGCATGGTTAAAGGATACAGTGAATGAGATGGAAACGTGTAGCACCTAACACCTGATTTTAGAAAGTCATTGCCTACAACCTACACAACTGAAATCAAAACAGGCAGAAAGCTTCATGCAAAACAACAAGGCTTTTCCAAGTCTCCTCCACCCTTCAGGAACCTGCTAATTGTGATGATCTTTCTCAATGCCACTGTTAACTTCTACCCATCCTCAGAGGCTCCACCTATGTTGGAAATAAGGAGTTCTGGAAGCAGCAGTTTTAAATGCAGGCAGTGCATTAGCACATTATGAGGAAGTGAGAAAA